GATGTTGAACATTTTTTCATATGCCTGTTGGCCATTTGCATTTCCTCTTCTGAGAAGTTTCTTTTTAGCTCTTCTGCCCATTTTTTGACTGGAATATTTTCTTTGTTTTTGTTGAGTCTCATCAGCTCTTTGTAGATTTTTGTGATCAGTCCTTTATCATTAGTGTTGTGTGCAAAAATGTTCTCCCAGTCAGTGGGGTTTCTCTTTGTTTTGGTTACTGTCTCTTTTGCTGTGCAGAAGCTCTTTAATTTGATGTAGTCCCAGCTGTTTATCTTTGCCTTCACTATCACTGCTTTGGGTGATGTGTCTGTAAAGATGTCTTTGATGTGCAAATCCCGTAGTGTTTCGCCTATATTTTCTTCTACGTATTTTATGGTTTCAGGTCTTATGTCTAGTTCTTTAATCCATTTTGAGTTGGTTTTTGTGCATGGTGTGAGGTAGTGGTCAAGCTTCATTCTTTTGCATGTAGCGACCCAGTTTCCCCAGCAAATAAATAATTCTTTAAAAAAATAAAAGGTATAAAGCCACTTGTAGCCAACCTTCAGTGAGCCTTGAACATGAGGAGAGAGGACATAGGCATTTTTCTTCTAGTAATCTCATTTTTATTGTTTAATTGGGCAAACATTGCTTTGTGCAAAGGGGAAAAAAGAGCATTCCATTTTCAAAGAGAAGGAAGGATAGATGATAATGTACACAGTTGCAAAAATACCTGATTCATAATCTTCTTAAAGACAGTGGCTTAACAAAAATGAACAATGATGTAAGAAAATAAATTTAATTTTTAAGAAAGACAGAGGTTTGGTCAACCGTCAGCATCTTCCAATGCCCAGAAGAAAATATCCTCTCATATGCACAATTGGGACTGTGCCTTAGCTACCAATTTTCCCATCTACCATTTTGTTTAATATCAACTTATGGCCACTTTCCCAAATTATTAAATGCCTGTTAGAAAATCTGATTGTTGATGGGTATATTAGAATTGTTTTAATAACTTGCTTATTAATCAATGTGCAGGCAGTTTTCTATTTTTCTAAGCAATGGCTTAATAATTATTATAAGTAAACTTGGAAAGGACATATGTATAGAGAAGGTAAATGACAAACACTCTTAAGATGATAAAACTAGTACTTATACAATTAACTGCATCATAGTTACTTCATGGATATCCAACCTGCAACACTTGAACCTTCACAACTGTCTGTGATGCTGATGCTGATTGTTGTTTCTGATTTAGATAAGGAATCTGGGGCTTAAGCAGTTTTTCCCAGGGCCACAGAGTCAGAAAGCAATAGGGCAGGACCCAGACTCAGGTCAGGAGCATGCAACACCACACAACAAATGTGGACAAGAACCCTGTGTTCCTCCGGCAGGAGAAATCCCAGGTAGGGGTGAGAAAAAGCACTCCTGGGAGGGGAGTGAGTGCAGCTTGAAGGACTCAGTGGGATCTGGGCCCAAGAAGGTAAACCAGCGGAGCTGCAAACAAGCTACAGAGGGCAGCACTATAGGTGAGAGATAAGGATGGTGTCTGGGTTTGCCTCCCCTGCATCCAGGAGGTAGATGAAGGCAACAGTGAGGTAGGTCTTGAATGCCGGGGGGTGGGGTGGTGATTAGACCTTCCTGATGGAGTTAGCAACTTGGAGAGCCAACAATCACCAGCAGGAGCAAGGTTGTATGTGAATTACCGGTATTCGTGACCCCAGGTGCATGGGGTTGGTCCATTCCAGAGCCAAAGGGGGAGGGGGCATTTGCTCATGGACAGTCAGTAGTGTTGTTGTCTTCTATGTGAAGAGAACCAAAGGCTGTGTTTATGACAGTGAAGGCCACAAGTGGTGAAGCCCAGGGATGATAGCCACACCCTAGTGTGCGTTATACTTTGGAGTTTAATCGAGCACCATTGGTAAGCTTTCAGGGAGGGAATCCCTGCCGTCAAGGAGCTCACCTTAGTGCTTAGTGCTGATTCCTAGGCAGGAAGAGTCTTGACTTTCGGAACCCAGTGCTACATTTCCATACTGTACACTCAAGATCCAGGAGATTCCCCAGAGAGAAATGTAGCTCCCTGGGGTGACACTGAGCAACTACGCAGAAGGACAGACCAGCACTTCTGCTTTAAAAGCGGGGATGATCTTCCCCAGTGTGGCTGGAGGGAAACTTTAGATGGGGAGCTTTCAGGCCAGCCTCCCAGTTGCATGAGGAGAGCGAGAGCAAACCCAAGGTGAAGGCTTGGCAGCGTGACCCCTGAAGACGATTCAAGTTAGCCTGGGGTACCCTCTCTTGTCCACTCCCAAACTGGGATTAACTTTGGAATCTTCCATAAATGAAGAGAAACTGGGGGCTTTCCAATCCTAGCCTGGGTCAGTACTATTTCAAGACAAATTGGAACAAGATGGCCTGCGCGGTCAAAGCAGGGGAGGGAGACAGAAAGTCGTCCCACCTGGAGACGTCAGTTTAGGCAGGAGGTAGTTACAGGAGAGCCTAGTTGTGATCATAGGAGACAAGCCATATTCTCAGAGTGCTAGAAGCAGCGTACAGATGAAGATAAAATTCCAAAAGATAAGTTGCGGCTCACTGTTTCTACAACGACACCTAAAGGTAAGTGCATCAGGCAAAAGAGTCAAGAGTGGACAAACGTCTTACTGTGATCCCCCAGTCCAGGATTTTCACCCATTTTCACCCATACGTTCCCACAAGCCTCAGATAGCCCAGAATAAATATTTTAAATGTCTTTTGACTTAGCTATGAGGAGATGCAGCAATTTTTTTTTTGAGCAGTGTTATGAAAAGTTTGAAGTAGCCTCTGCAGCCCCAGTGCTCTTGCATCTCATTCTCAGAGATATTTAGTCATTTGCTGCAGACCTGGCCACAATGTGCGTGTGTGTGTGTGTGTGTGTGTGTGTGAGAGAGAGAGAGAGAGAGAGAGAGAGGAGCAGAGACATCTCCTACTGTCACAGTGACTTCTTGCATGGGTCAGAGAATCTGCACTCTCGGGTATGCCAGTCCTGGAGGGAAAATTTTCCTGCTTTGGTCAAGGGAAAATAAATGGCACAGACCCAGAGATCCTATTTCTGACTTCAGGCTGCACAGAACTTGAATGTACAGCTTCCAGCCAAGTTTCTGGTTGTCAGAGGTCGACTCTGCTGCTGAGCACAGCAAAGTGAGCAATGGCCCTACTATGTGCAGGATGTGAGCCTTCTAACCAGTCGTCCTCATGGTTCTGAGGCAATTGCCTCCGTCATGCCACGAGCCACAGGTCGGAGCTGGAGCTGAGAGCTGGTGAGGTGAGTGTGCACCACGAGTGTGTGTGTGGATGTGCAAGCACGGGAGTCCCGTGAGAACTTCAGTAGAGACGAGGAGGTCCCAGGACCACCTGTGGTCCCAGCCGTGCCCACTGTGTCCAGCTGCATTGCCAGTAACCCCATCCCAGGATTCAGTTTAGGGCCCGACCTGAGGAGATGAAGCAGGGTGGAGGTTGGGAGGGTCCTTCTTTTTGTTCCTCTCATTTTTTGACAGGAGGTATTTGGAAATTATCTCCCCCGTGGTCGGTCTAAATGGATGCTGCGGTAGCCCCTGCCTGCCACTTGCTCCTTTACCCACCTCTGACTTTTAATAATTAAAGTAATTTGCCTAATGAAACATGCTCAAATGGATAAACCACTGTGAAAAGGAACTTAGCTGGGTCAGCGAGAGTGTGTCACGGATAGAAAAGGAAATGCTGTTGTGGACATGAAAATTTAACACAGTGACTTAATTTTGTATTAACATTTGGCTAAACCACCTCGGTCAATGTAAGCCTTTGATCAGAGGAGCGTGATCAGTGCTCTGCGTTAAACAACCAAATGGGATCGAGCTGGCTCTCCTGCAAAAAGCAAAATACAAAGGTGGTTTCTCCATGGCTAATTGAGACAGTGGAAGTGGACAATTTGCTCAGGAAAACTACCTCCAATCTAGTTTTGGATTGACTTTTATGACTGGGTCTTTAGAAATCAATGCATTTGATTCTTACTTTTTCACAGAGAGAGTTCATTAACTTTGAATGCATTTGGGAATATTTTCTTTTCTTTGGAGTACATTTATCCTCCTATAAAAACATTGCCAGGTTCCCAGTACAAAGTTGGAGGAAGAGAGAATATATGATAGGATAAAAATAATTGATAAGGAAATTTTCGTAGGTATTTATTTTTCAAAAATCAAATCTTAACCAGAGTATAGTAACAGTTCAAAGTCCAATTAAAAATTAAAAATTAATATTGTAATTAAAATATAATAAATTCATATATCAAGCACAGCATTGTTTGTACATTAATTACTCCTATTAATTTAATTCCATCTCTTTCAAAATACCCCAAAATTAATAATAGGGTAAAACAGATGGTAGTATTTTCTTAACCTCTTTTATACTTTGTTATCTAAGAAAAACAAAATTAGGCAAACTTCCAATCAAAAACATGCCACAGGCACAACAAACACTTGGTCTACTTTCTCTGGCATCTCGAAGTGAATTCTACACATCTTTGACACATGAGGACAATGAATTCTGATTAAAGCCAGCACTTCCCATTTTCAAAGTGCCTCTGAAAAATGACTAAAAAAATAGAATCTTTGGTTTTGTTCCTTTTAAAGATTGCGCCCAAAACCTTTGCTTGAAAAACTTTCTGAATAGTGGCACTGCCTAGTTAAAACACAAGCAGTAGACAAAATATCAGATTTCTTTTTCCAGCTGTCCAGAATCCCATTAGTGCCTCTTACTTCTATCTGTCTTTTGCTATAATTAGGATGGCTTAGGGTTTATCTGGGCTTTTTTTCAAAACCAGATTTCCTTCCTAACAGCAGCAGCTGTTATTCACAAGTACCCTGGTGCGTTGGGAGCCTTATTTTGATTTACATTGTAGTACAGCAATCGTAAATGTGAAGCCACAGGAAATGCGCACACACACACACACACTCACATACACACGCAACCCTTTCACTGGGTAGATTTTTTTTTTTTTTAAAGAAGAGTCTTACCTGGGGATGAGGCCGCTGGTCTGGAACCTGGCTTGTTTCGAACAGGTTGTTAACCTGTACCCCTTCTCCCTCGAAGCAGGAGTCCCCATCTTGGGGGAGAGAGTCTGATGGAGTCTGCAGGTGTGTTGCTTCTTGCTCTGCTTGGGCTGAAATAGCACATTCTCCTGCGGGGACCTGGGAATTCAGATGGGTGGCTTCTGTGCTGGCGAGAGGACTCTCTCTCTGATCACTCTGGGCTTGTGCGTGCTTAACAGGTTCTTTGGGGTAGAGGAGATTAGGGGTGCCTTCTGTTGCACTTTCTTTCAGTTTCTTGGGTTTTCCCTTCATTCCTGGTCGCCTCACCCTGGCAGTTTTCTCAGAGCCCCTCCTGCTCGCTAAGTCCTTTTCCCCGATTCTTTTCCGGGCTGCGGTCACCCCCGCCTGCTCTCGCTCTCCACACGAGCGCTTCATCTCTCTCCCAGGCTCGGCTTTCTCCACGTTCAACAGATTGTCACAGGCGAATTCCTCTCCAGCTGGGTGGCTGTCTCTGGTTTCTCCTAGAATTCCTGGATAATCATTTTCCACAGCCTCAGGCGCAGTGGGAAGTTTATATCTCCCCGGGGCGGTCACAGTAGACGTTCCATCCTGGTGAGGTCCCAAAGTCAGAGTCATCTCTGTTTGCGGAGATGAGGGACTGTGGGTGGAGGCTCCAGCGCTCCTCACCCCCACTCCTGGGGGTTGTGAGTGATGACCACAGAAGCCAGTGGTGGCCTCCATCAGTCCAGTGTCACCCGACACCTGAGGCCCACACCCCATTTCACCGGGCGAGTGCTCACACCCACCCAGGCAACACTCGCTGCAGTCCATGTCCTCGTCATCGCTTTCTAATAAAAAAACACACAGAGTCCCCTGCAGGTCCCTCTGCCAGAGTGCATTAGAGTAATCCGTCATAACATCGGAACATTCCAGATACTCCAGGTCATCATCTGAAAACTCCTCGGTGTAGGTGAGGGTGATCTCTGGGCAAAGTTCATAGTCACTGTCAGAGTCTTCGCTGGAGACCTGTGGGCCCCCGTGCCTGTGGCTCGTCTCCCTGTCACCTGGGCCAGGGGACACGGCCGCCTCCCACTGCGGCAGGCTGAGGCTGATGTATTTCTGTGCTTTGGGGTTTTGATGACTAGCATTTAAGACGGCATCCGCAGGGCTGGAGTCGCTCGAGGCTCCCTCTTTTGACCTTGACCCCTTGGAAAGCGCGTCCCTGTGACAACAGGTGTCTTGCTCAAGGGGAATATTACTTGAATTAGGGAAAAGCAGCCCAGCTGCAATTTCCTCTGTGTTATTCGGATTGTCCGTCTCTGCCTTGCGCCTCCTTCCTTCGCCATCCAAGGGATTTTCAGCACTGGGTGCGGTGATGTCGCTGTTGGCCAACAACTGGCGTGAGCACAGACCTTCGCATCTGGAGGAGGGGGAGCCAGCTGACGTGGGAGTCTCTGAGGAGGCACTTTCTTCTTCCTTATAGGGCTGTTCTTTCTCGTCCATTTGATTTGTGTTCTCCTGCTCACATGTCTCTGTTTCATGGAGACGACCTGTGTCCTCATCCTCTTCCAGGGCGGGACAGCGCTGTGGCTTCTGAGACAAGCTCTCAACTTCAATGGATGCAGAACAGCAAATCATTCCAAAACAATTTTTAGCAGAGACTTGATAAACAGCAGTGTCTTTTGGGGTGCAGCTAGGATGAAGAGAATATACAGGTAAGTTCCCCAAGCATGAACAGGAATGCCAACCTTTCTCGCATTATGGCACACAAAGAAAATGACTACAGCTTTCCCTGTGCCAGCAGGGAGCTCTGTGGTCTTCCTGGGAAGGGATGTGGGCTCTAGGCTCTGGCCTCTCGTGCTGAGAGGTGGGGATCAGCATTTCCTTAAACCTTTCCACAGTCTTACACCAAATTGTAAATGCTAAGAATTACTTAGATGATTGGGGAAATCTCTTGTGTCCTCATTTCTTCTTCTCTCTTTTTAAGTCATTTTTATGTTACAAGAATTTGAAAAAAGCACTATTTTCTAGAATGAGACATCTGATGCAAATAACTAAAGTATTCCACCTCCTGTAGTGGAACAGGATAAGCGATAATTCTTCGGACCATGCTAAGAGGGCCTGGGTCTTGCCAGGAGGCTATAAAGATAATATGCTAGGATTATATGTATGTGTGATTTCCTCTTCAAGTTAACAAGACTGTAAGGTCTAAATGTCAGCCCGTGAGCACCTCTGGCTGGAAACCTATGTTCACATGCCATTGTGATGAACATAGACCAAGCCAGGTGTTTGGCTTTGACCCAGGAGGGAAGGAACTATATCCTGGATCACACCATGCCTGCTCTCCTTGTTCCAGAAGGGACAGAGCTCCTGGGGCCCCTCCCTTTGTTGACTGCAGCCTGAAGCCAGATGTACTTTGCTGAAATTTCATCAGGACATAACTTCAGGCTCTGTAGTCCCAGTAAAAAACATGTTACATGTGATTTATAATGTGCACTCAGGTTGAGTGCATTGGGCCTCATTGCAGTGTAACCTGGCAGATCTCACTTTCTGAATTACACAGCTCAGAAGTCAACAACCATTTTTAGAAGGCAAGTATGGTAGGTCTGGCAATGCTTAGGTCTTCATTGATTTATCTGTATAAAATGTGCCTGTGTCAGATACAGCCATGGAACACTGTCCTCCTCATCCTCTCTTGAGTCAGAACCCATGGGTAATAGGCCTGGGGATCTGCTTTAAAAGATCTTAAACACAAACTGGTCCAAACACTATGGAGAGCTGTGTGGAGATTCCTCAACCTACTAAAGATAGAGCTTCCATAGTATCCAGCAATTCCACTCCTAGGTATTTACCCAAATGACACAGAAACATTAATTCCAAAGGGCACCTGCACCCCTATGTTTATAGCAGCACTGTTTACAATAGCTAAGCTTTGGAAACAACCCAAATGCCCAAAAATAGATGACTGGATCAAGAAGATGTATTATATATACACAATGGAATATTACTCAGCCATCAAAAAAGATAAACTCATGCAATTTTCAGCAACATGGATGGAGCTGGAAGGGAACAAGCTCAGCGAAATAAGCCAGAAAGAAAAAGAAAAATACCGGATGGTCTCACTCATAGCAGGAATCTAGAAAACCTAAATAAGGGACCGGGAAAAATAATAACTATAATAAAGAAAAAATCAAAATCAACAAGCAACTATAAACCAGAGATACACTATGGGGGGTCAAAATAAAGGGGGGTGCAATTGTATGGGGAATATAACCAAGATGAAAATGCATACATTGTGCAAAAATGAAAAAATGATGTAAGAAATATATAAAATAAAATATTAAATAAATAGAAGATCCCAAACATATTCTGATACCAATTGCTTTTTACCCACCCTTGGAGACCTTCTCGTCCCCCTTATCATCGATGGGGCTTAGGACTCCTCGGTTAAAGCCACAGGAGGAATGATGGGGGAGTTTTAGGTTGAGTTTCATGGTGCTCATGTCCTGCCCTTCATGCCTCCTTTTGATGAATTCTTGGAGACTGATCTCAGGTAAGAGCTGACAAGGAGCATAAAGCAGCATCATGGGCTGTTGAAAAATCCCAGGCAGGGGCTTCCCTGGTGGCGCAAGGGGTTAAGCACAGTGCTGTGAAGCAATCTGCAGCCTCTGCAGGGTAAGTTCGATCCCTGGCCAGCCAGGGAGCTACCCACCTGGTGCAGCAGACCTCTCCTGACTCACCTGCTTCTCTCCTCAGCAGTGTATTTCAGTCGATCTACCTGTTCTGCTCCCCACTCTGTCTCTGGTGAATCTGCTCACCGCCCCCACACCTCTGGCCTGTACCCCAGTTCTTGTATGCATAAATAAATAAATCTTTTTTTAAAAATCCCAGGTAATTCTGATTTCTTGTTCTATCCAGCCACAAGCCCTCTACCACAGGAACCACCTACCCAGAAGGTACCATGACTAGTGCAGCCTGACATGCGAAGAAGAGAAAGGAAGAGAAAGAAAAAAGGCTGCAGGGCACGAAAGACCAGGTAAGAAATCAAGAAGGGAACAGAGGTGGTTCTCAAGGATCAAGGAAGGAAAACATAAAGAATTTTAGAAAAATGGAGAAAAGAATTGGGTTAAATAGATTAAACTTCTGAATGAGTAGATAATCCAATGGGAAAATATTCTGACTCAGTGATGAATCCAAACATGAGTTGGAGCTGAGATGACTGAGTACACTGGTGAAGAAAAGGAGCTGGATTAAGTCAAATTCTCTTCTTACTGGTTAATGAATGCCTGTGACAGAGCTATGGTCTATAGTTGACGTGAACTGTGTTGTTATCTCTAAGGGTTCTAAAGAAGGGGGCGGGGATCTGCAAGGAGCCCAGCGTTGGTTAAATGCCTCCTCTGCTAAGTAGTGTGCCAGTTGCTCCCTGTGTACAAAACTGAGGGTCCCAAGGATTGAATAGTTTTCCCAAAGGGATAAAGATAGTAAGTGTCAGGGTAGGATAAGAACTCAGAGCTTCTGACCCTGTGTCCTGTTAGAAAATCAACATTCAGAGAGAGAAAATGGCATATCATATTTGTAGAGTGTTTCTGTCTTAAGTCTTCACCTCGACTGGTCAGCCAATGATGACCTGCATAGCGTGTTTGTGTCTGGGTGTGCGTATTGTGTTAAATGCAGAGGAAGCGTTAAGGCAATCATGGACATCATGTCCACCCCAAAACACTAAAAATTGACTGGGGGAGATAAAACAAATTTTTCTGAGAACCTGGTTGGCCAGTTTTGTGCTCAGTTGAAAGGTACACACCGAAGGGTAAGGGAAATTCAAAGCAGACACTTACCTAAGTGCTAGAGGCTAGAATGTCTAGAGGAGAGTTGGGCTTTAGCATCTGTGCGATGCTGGCAGAATGACCTGCAAGCCCCACGGTGATTTGACAGGAATGCAAAGCCATCCCTGAACAATTAATAGAGTTCTCTCCTTGCATGTCTTCCCTTTGGCTGAAGGAAGCAGCACATTCTTCCACCTTGCTGTGAAAGTCTTGTTGAATACTCCAGGTGCTTTGCAGATGAATCACTTCCAGGCAATGAGGTACACACTACCTTCAGTGAATGGGGCTCCTTCTACGATTTGACCCCCTTGATTGATCTAAAGCAGAGCCGCTCAAATCATTTTGGCCCCAGAACTACTTCAGATTCTCAAGAATAACTGAGGAGTCCAGTGATTGATTGTTTATGGAGTCAGAGCTGCCACTTTTTTACCATATAAAAATCAAAACTGAGAAAAATTTCAGTTATTTATTCATTTTCAAAGAACAAAAATAAACTCACTACACATTCACAACTATTTTCATGAAAAATATCTATAGTTTTGCAAGACAAAGTAAAATTTCATAAGGCTGGGATTGTTTTACATTTTTCTGTATATCTGGAGGTTTATTAGATGACATGCATTCAACATGTCATTTGGGTTGAAGTAGCTGAAGGAAACTTGGCCTCATATAGTGAAATAGTTGGAAAAGGAAGGTAGATTTTAATAGTCTTTTCCTATGATTGTGGATAATCCTCTCTGATATTCTACAATGATTAGTTGCAATGTGGAATATGAACCCATATCAATGAACTTTTTATACTTGTCACATCAAATCCATTGGTCTATATTGCATTTTACAAGCATCTTCCTCCCACACAACCCCCAGATCCAGCCCCTCCCTCCACAATGGCCCCGTGTATTTTGATCCTTTGGAAGATCTTGGTTCGTGAGTTCAGCCATTTGGAAGAATTAGGTCTTCCCAATATGAATACATTTCATTATACAATATTTTAAAAAATCACATAAGTTAATATTCCTATAGATCTTATCAGAACAACTTTGAAATATTGGGAAACTATTAAACTTAAGATAAAAAACACACGTTTTCCAAATTTCTAGTTATGGAAATAGCATATATGAATATAAATGCATGACAATGGAAGTCAACTCTGTATGAACTTGCACAGAATTAGAAGGTGGAGCACATCAGTAAAAATGGCAGAGTAAGAGTGCTGGGAATTCTTCCATAAAAGCAAGAAGAACACTGGCAAAAATTAGTCTGAATCAAATTTTTCAGAAATTTGAAAGTGAAGCAAAGGCAACTGAATGTGCATTCATTCAAGATAGTGGCTGATTGTCGAGAAGAACAGCACATTTTCTGGTGTTTTGACCTGCCCTAGCCTCACCCCCTGCTCTCAGCAACATGGTCGACTGGGAAACCAAGAGTCCACAATCAGGATAAAACCAGCTGCCTGTCTGGCAACCACCAGAGGCAGCAGTACAGGCTGGAGCAGCCCCATTCCCTGTGAATTGTCATGATTGGCCCTGTCTGCTGGTTCCCTGGAGAATCCCAGGCACAGAACTGTCTTATCCGATCTTACCCAGAGCACTCCCAGGATAGTCCCCGTTCTTTGGACATACCTAGGATAGCTCTCTTAAAGTCCTTTTGTAGCAGGACTGGGGGCAGTTTCTATGACTGTTCCACCGCCCTCCCCTACCCCCACATATGGGCCACATTTTCTTTCTTGGATGTTTAAACAATATAACGTGGCAACTCTGGAAATTGGGTTCTGCCCCCTTGCCAAGGGTTATTGCCTGTTTAGTTACTTTTCTGAACAAATTCTTTAAATTCTGTATTTTTTATTGTTTGTGGTCACTGAGGTCTCTGT